AAATTAAATAAAATAAAAAAAATTTTAAAAATGATATTTTTCTTATAAATTAAAAATATAAACTTAATGTAACATCATTTTGTACATTAAAGTAAATAATTATAACTTAATTTTTTTAACGGTTCGTTAAAAAAATAATTACTAGTTTAAAAAAGTAATTAAAAATTATTTAATTATGTACATTTTTTAAAAAAAAAAAAACCGAATTCAAACTTTCTAACCCAAAAGCTTTCGAAAATCGGCATTGTTCATTTTTTTACATTCATTACTACTATTTGGAACGGGTGATGCGAGAGAGAGATTTGCAAATGATTCCGTTGCTGTGCTATTGGGTTTATTAACACTGAGTGCTCGGGGAAGAAAAGAAATTTGAGTTTTACTCCTCCCCCGTGGACCCATTTCTTTGGGTCCTCCACCTAAAGAAACGACTCCCTTGTTTTGTTGCAATAATGACGTTTCACCTTTTCTTTCCGGTGGATTACTGATGGCCACTGAAATTTGTTTATTTTCTATTGTGGTTCCGTCGGTTGAAAGTACCGCTTGAGCAGCTGATGCCTAGAAAAAAAAAAAAAAAATTATCGTGACGATTTACATATAAAAAGGTAGGTACGACCGTTATTTAAAATGTGATCAACACTTACTTCGTCTTCGAATTCAACGTATGCTAAACCTTTCGAATGTCCGTTCCTGTACGTGACTAATCGAACATCTTTAAGACTGCCAAATTTCGAAAAGAGTGTTTTTAAATCCTCGACCGTCGTTGAAAATGGCAATCCTCGAACGAATAATTTATTTTTTTCCATTCCTGAACTATATTTGAATCCGCCACTCCTTGTTTCTTTATCCGGATCGCATTTCGATACAAACATCGGCCTTCCATTAATTAATTCCCGGTCTTTTTTCAATGCGCGCGCAGCCTCAACCTTAACGTCAGCAAATGTATTTTTACGTTATGGCAAATCGTTTTTTTGTGCATTTTAAAAATGTCTTACCGATTTTTCAAATTCGACGTAACAATATCCTTTTGAACGACCTTTATAATCTCTAACCAATCTTAAATCCGTTATTTCTCCGCAACAAGAAAATGTTTCTCTAATTACGTCTTCTTCGGTCGTGAAATCTAAATTACTAACAAAAACCGTTCTGTGATCTTTGGAAGATTGGTGAACGACGGTTTCTCCGTGAGCTTTAAAATATAAAAATTTATGACGTCATTAATTTGTTTTAAAAATGGATTAAAAAAAAAAAATCCAGGTACGTGTACTACCTGTTTTTGATTCTCCTCTTAATAATTTGTCAATAAAATCATTTTTATTATTTGACTCTTCTTCTTCTTCGTTTTCTTTACTTTTTTTTTTAGGACTACCGTTGTTCGTTTCTTCCTCTTCGTGTTTTCTTTTAAAATTCGATATTTTTTTGTCTTTATATTCAATTTTAGACATATTTTTATTTTGTTCATTTTTTTTTGACGAACCAGAGAATTTAACCTTTTTTTTTTGTTGATCGTAAATAATATTCTCCGTTGAATTTTCAGCTGCTAGCTTTTCACGTTTGTCGTTTATTTCGGTTAATTTAATTGAAATTTTTTTCGTGCAATTTTCCATTGACTCCAGAGTTCCTTCATCTCGTTCGTAATTTAACCAAGAATTGGCAATAACTTCTGGCCAATCGTTAGTTCCTTGAAGAGCTCTTGGAAATAATTTTCGTAAGTGTTTCGAATCTCCGAATGCTCTTTAAAAGAAAACGTTAAAAAAAAAATTTCTTTCTCTTAAATCTTAATAAAAAAACCTTTTTTTTTTAAAAAAATTTAATTTGAAAAAATTTTTTCGTATTGATTAATTTGAATTCTCTTTACCTTTCTAAATGAATATATTCTAGCCACATGTCGGATGTTTTGCATTTTTCATCAGATAAAATTACGTTCCAAAGTTCCCTGGATTTATCCATGTTTTTACAATAAATTGCTTCTATTCTTGCCCAAAATTGACCTACAGAATATCCCGGATCGGCATCTGGCACTTGGTACAAAAAAAAAAAAGACATAATTTAACAATGAAGATGTGTGTAATTTTAAAAACGGATATGAATAAGTAAAATTACTTTGAAATAAAAAATCCAAAGCCTTGGAAAAACCTGCTCTTAATTCTTTAAGTCTTTTTTCTTCCTCTTCTTGATTTTCTGAAACATCAAAACGCCTTCGAAGATATTCTAAATAAGTTAACCATATATCTCTAAAATCTGTAGCTGTTTGAAGGCCTGAATTAAAAGCATCCTCTACCACATCTAAAAAAAATAAAATTGTAAATAAAAATAAATTATTGTCGATTTTGAAGAAAATAAAATATCACCTGTCAATGCCTACCTGTAATATCTTTATGAGTTTTTTTATATTTTTCTAAACATTTTATATAAACTTGATAGATTTTACAACACCAAGGACAATTTCTCACTGCTCTTTTGCATATTTTAAATAGGACATCGGGAATTTGAAGAACTCCATCGACATAATTTATATATTCTAACCACATTTCTTCATTTAAACAATTCTCGCATAAAAATCTCTCATATAAAAATTGAACTCTTACAGGAGATCCTTCTTTAGATTTTTCATACTCTATATAATTTTTCCAAACATCGAGTAAGTCTTCCGATTTAGAAATCTAAACGATTAATTTTATTAATACTTACAAAAATAAGTCGAAAAAAAAAAAATTTTATTATTATTAACTTTATTTACCAAAGCTTCTTCATATTTTATTATTTTATTTAATTTTTCTTTGGTCTTAATGTAGATACTTTCTACAACAGATTTATCTATGATTTTTTCTGAGAACAAACTTTCATTTTCTTCTAACCAACAATTGAAAGCTTCAAAAGTTTGTTCCATATTTAAAAGCGGACAAGAAAGTTGTCTTTTGTATAAATTTGCAATTACTTTAACCTTATTATAATATTCTACATTATTGTCTTTCTAAAAACAAATTTAATATAATTATTATTAATAAATAATTATTTATGTGTATCAAACCAGTAAGTAAGAGTTTGAATTTACTGAAATAGATTTTAAAATTGATTTTTCATAATCGATGTAACTTTTCCACAATTTTGAACCTTGCGTAACATGTAATCCTGCCGCTGTTAATCCTTCTTCAAAAACATTTTTGATAAAAGTGGCATCAATTGAATTTTCTTCACTGTGAAATGAAATACAAAAAGTAGTGTATTGAAGCCAAAGTTCTACAGCTAAAAAAAGTATAAAATAAAAAATCTTTTTGATTTTGAATTTTTCCAATATTGATTAAATAAGTTCTCGATTAATAACTAAAAAATAATTGTTAGAAATATTTAATTACAAAGATAATCTTTCACTGCACTTTTAAAAAGATTAATAATTTCTTTTTTCTCTTCGCATGACACAGCTATATTTATTTCATCCTGAATCCAATCAATCCATAACTCTGGTGACAAAGGAAATTGACTCGCCATTCTTTTTCTAACACATCTCAACCGATCCAAATCACCCAAATCTTTAAATGTTTTTATTAAATCCAAATAAGGTTGATAAGCAAATTTATTTTCTGCTATCTGTAAAAACAAAAAAAAAAAAATACAATTTTACTATCCTTAGACATATAAAATCAAGTATTTATTTAAATATATATAATCAAATAAAACTAATAAAAACAATAAGAACTTGGTGAATATGAAAATATTTAAACTTTTTGGACCGGCAATAATGCTGGGTTAAAAGATAATTAAAAGTGTTTGGTAAATAAAATGAATCGTTATATACCATATTTTCTAAATTATTCACTTGAAGTTCTAATAATTTTTCTTCATTATCCGATTCATCTGAATCGATTTCTTCATCATTTAAAAGTTCTTCTGATGATTCAGCCATTTATTATTTAACCAGAAACTTTTTTTCTATAGCTGTAAAAATTAAATTGATGTGTATATAATGTTATAAACATACAGCAGAATGAGCAACGCTTAGAACCTTTTTTTTTTTCCTTTGAAACAAGACGATGGCAATTTTTAAGTCTCACAAATAAACGTTAACATTATCAATATTAGTGCGATATTATTACACGAAAATGGTTTGTTCAACAAAAAAAAATGAAGAGAATTTAAAATTTTCTAAACCCAGTTTAAAATATCTTACTCATTCTTACGGAGTTCCTTTAGACATTCAAAATGAGGTAAGTAACCTAACCTTAAAATTTTTTATTAAATGTTTACCGATTTTAAATTTGTTTTAAAATTTTGAATTTTACATTTAGTTTTTACAAACACTTGGAAAGCCTCATGTGGATTCATTTAATCTTTTGATTGACAAAGGGTTAAATTTAATATGTAAAAATTTAATTCCCATTCATTTTTCTGTTGGTTCTGACCGTTACACAGTACAAATTGAGGTAAGTAATTAAATAAATTTTGTTTTTTTTTTTTTTTTTTTTTTTTTAAATTTCTTAAATACCAATTAATTTTTTTTTTTTTGTTTTGTTTTTAGAATCTTAGATTATTATATCCAGTAATGCCAGATGGTTCGTTTGCATTAAAAACTCAGAAAATTTTTCCTTGCGAGTGTAGGCAAAGAGCCTCTACTTATAGTGGTAATTTATTTGGTAAAATTACATGGTCTGTAAATGGTGTAAATCAACATCCGATAGAAAAGGATTTTGGAAAAATTCCAATAATGATTAAGGTAATTAATTTTTTAAGTAATATTTTTAATAATTATTAATGTTAAATAATTTGTTTATAAAAACCTTATAAATTTATATCCCTATATTTCTTATATCAGTATAAATCTTTCTCGATAATTTTACACTGATTATCTAAAAAATCATCGAATGAAACAAATTCACTTTTTACAAAATCCATATCCTCATCTGAGACATTGTGCAAAACAGACCAAAAAGCAGGAAGATGCCTTGGAGTCATTTTCTTTAAAAAATAATTTCTCCAATAGCACATTAAATATATTAAACCTTTAGGATATTGAAGAAAGTATTTGACAACTTTGAATCCGTGTGTCTCTTCTATAGGTGTTTTAATTTTTAGTGAACTAGCATCTTTTAATAATTTTTGTGTTACTTTAGATTCACCAAAGTAAAGTAAAATTATCTCAACCATTAAAGCCTTTTTTTCCCATGAAATTTTATCTCCTAAAAAAAATTTTTTTTAACGTCATACAGAAAAATATTTTATACTTCAAATAAGCGTTAATTAACTTTTAATTACCATTAGACAGTAAGGTTCTAGCATAGCTTCTTATTTTTACTTGTAATTTTCCTGATTGACGGTTATTATTATGTAAAGGAGCTTTGCATAGTATTGATAAACTTTTTTTTAAAATATTTCCCTTTTCCACAGCTTTTTCATGACATATACTACACAATAGTAAAATATCATGGCTTAAATGGTTTTTCATTTTTGAAGGAAAATGTTTTCTAAAAATAAATTTTAAATAAAAACAAAAATTTTAAAATTTTTCAAAATATTTAAACTAAGTTAGTTGCATGATAAGATATTCCACCTATATTCTCTTGGTACCACATAATGCCTTGAATATGATGTGTTATGTCCACAAACTACACAGCAATTTTGTTTTAACTGTGTATAATATTTTTCTTCTTCTATTGTATTCGCTCTTCCAGCCGGTTCAAACAATAATTGTATTTTTATATTTGAATCTGACTTGTGTGTAATATTTGCTAATCCTTTGTTTACATACCACATGGCCTTTCTAAAACATAATTTATGATAACATTTAAAAAAAAAAAATTTAACATGTAATTTATAAAATGAAAGTAAATTACTTATAATTAATCATACTTGTAGTCACAAGAACACAAAAGTTTTTTATTCGGATCATAAATATAGCATTTTTCATAATAATCGGTTTTCTTTAAAAGAGGAGTAGTATAAGGTTTTTTTTCTTTAGCTTTAGCAGTTGTCTTGTTTTCTAAATTTGAAGATTCACAAATTTTTCTAGATGAAGTACTATTTTTAGGTGGATCTCGGTTAAAATATTTCGTTTTTCTAGATGAAGTACTATTTTTAGGTGGATCTCGGTTAAAATATTTCGTTTTGTCTAATCTTGAAAAAATTTCATATAATTCAGAATAATTAAATGTTTTAGAATTATCCCATCCCCATCCAAATCTCTGCAGAAATCTTTTAAATACGTCTATGGCTACCAGAGCATCCATGGCTGCATACTTTTTTTGAGAATATGATAATTCATGGCATTCCCAATCACTTCCTGCTATTATGCCATCCTTGTTTAACATAATGCCAAGTACAACTTTTGCCAAATCGCCCAAACCTTTACACATAGGATACAAATATCGTAAGTCGAAAGTAGTTTGCACCTGAATAAATTGAAAATAAATTTTTTAAAATAAATTTATTAATAAACTTTGTAATATTATTTTGAGTGGTTCAACATAAATTACTCTGATATCATAATCTGCTGATAAGTATAAACCATCTATTGCAGGTAAAACTCCCAACTTGAAAATATGTTGGTCTTCGAGTATTTCTATTAGTTCAAATGGGATTATAGATAATTTATTTAATCGAAATAAATAACAATCTTTTTTATATGTAGCCAGTTGCAATAATGCTACTGGATATCTCACGTGATAAGACACCCATTCACAATCAAATCCTAAAGCACTTAAAACTAAGCAATCATTTCTAATTTTTTCGCATGCCTCTCTACACTCTGACAGAGTTTCAATCAAAATAATTTTCATGGCATCATTTTCTTTAGGTAGAGTGTTTACATGGCTGCTGGTATTTTTATATGTGTTCGTAACATCACTTTTTATTGGTATATAATTTCCATCGATGCTGGTATTTTTATTGCCGTAGTCAAAGAAATTAATAATACCGTTTATTAATTTTATTAAATTACGTACAAATAAGTTTAAAAAGTATACAACAGGACCCATTACAATCACAATATAAGCAACTAGACATATTTTAAGAATTGTCTCATACATAATTTTTAAAAAAAATAAATTTTGAGAGAGAGACAAAAAAAAAAAAGAAAACCTCGTAGGTTTCAGATGAATTAGTTTGAAATTTTTTTAAAAACAAGGTCACACGTATACGCACAGTAATAATAATAATAATTTTTATGTAAAATGTTGGTACATAAAGACGGGACGGGGAAAAAAAAACAAAATGTTGGTATTTGTGTTTAAGCGCGATATTATATATATTATATTTTGAAATAAAATTTTTTTTATATTAAACATTATTAATTTATTAAATTAGTCCAATAGGTGTCATTTGAAAAATTTAACTCCAAGAGAACTTGTTGAAAAGAATGAACACGAAGATGAATGGGGAGGATATTTTATTTTAAAGGGTCATGAAAAATTAATACGTATGCTAATAGCAACACGTAGAAATTATCCAATTGCTCTGTCGCGACGTACCTGGAAACAAAGAGGTGCATCTTTTTCTGAAAAAGGAATACTTTTAAGATGTGTATCCGAGGACGAAACATCTACGGTAAAGTCAAATAATAAATATTTTTTAAAACCGAAAAATGAATTTTAAAACCGTTAATAACAAAATTTTTATTTATTTATTAGAATAATGTTTTACATTTTGTGACCGATGGAACCGTTAAAGTCATGCTTAGTTACGGAAGATCATTGTATTTTATACCATTGTGTTTGATATTGAAAAGTCTCATTAACGTATCGGATTTGTACGTTTTTAAACGTCTCACAGAGGGAAGAGATGATGATTTTTATTTTAAAAGGTAAAGAACAAAAAATTTTTCCTATATTTTTTTATAAAAAATCTAAGTCACATCTAATTAAAAAAAAAAAATAATAATAATAATTTTTTTTTATAAATTAGTTGCATAAAAACGATGCTTTACGATGTTCACGTCCAGGGAATCGACACTCACGAAGAAGCCAAATGTTTTATCGGGAAAACATTCCGTTTAAAATTTCCCGATCAATCCCCCTGGTTTACGGATGCACAAATTTGCGATTTGATAATGGAGTAAAATTTTTTTATTTTTTATTTTTTAATAATTTCAATTAAAAATTAATTTAAATTAATTAATTATTTAACGTAATAATTTTTTTTTTTTTTTTTTTTTTTTTTTTTTTTTTAAGGAAGTGTTTAGCCATTCATTTAAATGACAACAAAGATAAATTTAATTTACTTATTTTTATGACCCAAAAACTTTTTGCCTTCGTACAAGGACAGTGTTGCGAAGAAAATGCAGATTCTCTTATGGTGCAGGAAATTCTCACGGGGGGTTCCATTTATCAACAGGTTAGAAATAATAAACTTGATGAAAAAAATGTTTTTTTTTTTTTTAAAATTATTCGAAGGGGATTTAACTTTGAGATTATTCTTTTCAGGTTCTTAAAGATAGACTTCAAGGATTTTTAAACAATTTACGTTTGGTCGCGTCGAAAAAATTAAGCGAAGGAAAATTGAATTCGATTTCACAAATTCAAATGGCTTCATTTTGCAAACGTGCCGGAGGCATTGAAAAAGCAATGAACAATTTTGTTGCAACTGGAAATTGTCACAATTCACTTTCGGGATTGCCACAGGTAATTAATAAATATTAATAATATTTGTAATATAACTAAATAAATATTTTATTCAAGTGTCTACATATATAATTTAGGATAAAGGTTTAGTTATAATGGCAGAAAACATTAACAGAATGAGGTACATGTCACATTTTAAAGCCATTCACAGAGGAGCGTATTTTACAACGATGAGGACAACAGACGGTCGACAACTTCTTCCTGAAGCGTGGGGTAGTTTTTATTTATTTATTTATTTATTTATATTTAATTAAATTTTATGGCATTCGATTTTGTTTACTCGTGCCACAATATAAAAAATAATTTATAATTTATTTTTCATATTCTTAATAATAATAGGGTTCATTTGTCCGGTTCACACGCCAGACGGTAGTCCTTGCGGTCTATTAAATCATTTATCAAAGGATTGCATCGTTACCAACGTGCCAGATTATGAAATCCTTAAAAACCTTTCGTGCGTTCTTACGGATTTGGGTGTGATGCCTTTGGAAATTGTGGAAAAAAAAAACAATTATTATGATGTTCTCCTCGATGGTAAATTAATCGGTTATGTTGCCGACACCAACGCTCAAAATTTAGTACAATCTCTGAGAGTTTTGAAAATTGAAGGGAACGTCGTAAGTGTTTTTACCCCATTTTTTTTTTAACATTTAAAAAAAAAAACGGTAAAAATAAATAATGTAATTTAAAAGTAAAATATTTTGAATAAATTTATACTTATATTTTAGGTTCCGAATACTTTAGAAATTGTTTTAGTTCCCAAAAAGGACTCCGAATCTCAATATCCGGGAATTTTTTTGTTTACCGGTCCCAATCGTCTCATGCGTCCAGTTTTAAATCTTGCCTTAAATAAAACGGAATTAATTGGAACATTCGAACAAGTTTATTTAGAGATTTGCCTTAAATTAAACGAAGCTTACGAAGGTGTAAGTATAATCATTATAATGAGTATAAATAGTAATAATAATAATAATAATAGTTTTTTCCAACAACTAACAATGTCTCATTTTGTTTTAGCTTACGACTCACAAAGAATTATCTCACACAACATTTCTAAGTAATTTAGCTTGCCTTATACCAATGCCTGATTGTAATCAAAGTCCTAGAAATATGTACCAATGTCAAGTGAGTGAAACATTGGAAAAAAGAAATAATAATAATAATAAAAATTATAGTTTTTAATTGTCTTCGATTATATTTATTTAGATGGGTAAGCAATCAATGGGAACTCCAGTCCACACGTGGGATATTCAAGCAGAAACGAAACTTTACAGGTTACTCCTTCCTTCCAGTCCTTTATTTCGACCGGGACATTACGATGCCATCAAATTAGACGATTTTCCGATGGGAGTCAATGCCGTTGTTGCCGTTATTTCTTATACCGTACGTAATAAAAGTCTTTCTTTTAATATAGTACGTATGAAAAAAAAGTACAAAAAAATTTTAGGGATACGATATGGAAGACGCCATGATTATAAACAAGTCATCTTTTGAACGTGGATTCGGTCACGGAACCATTTTAAAATCTGAATTTTTCCACTTAAACCCGGATTCTTATTTTGAAAGGGATCCATCCAAAGCGGAATTAATTTCAAAGCTTGATGATGACGGTTTGCCTTTTCCAGGGTATAAATTTTTTTTTTTTTTTTTTTAAAAACTTTCTAAAAACTAATATAAGAAAATTAAATTTTTTTAATATTGTTTTTCATTACAGAACTTTAGTGGAAGAAAATGATCCCATTTGTTGTTATTTCAATGGAGAATTATCAAAATACGTTGTGGAAAAATTTCACGGTAAAGAAATTGCGTATGTGGACAACGTGAGACTTTGCTGCGGTGAAACTTTAAATTCCGCTTCCGTTTGCATAACTTTTCGAGTTCCGGTTAGTTAATTAAATTATATTTTTATATATTTCATACTTTTACCCACGTTATATATTAAGAAAAGAAAAAAATTTATTTATTTACAGCGAAATCCAGTCGTCGGTGATAAATTTGCAAGTAGAGCAGGGCAAAAAGGTATATGCAGTCAAATGTGGCCGTGCGAAGATTTACCATTTACGGACAGCGGTTTGGTACCCGACGTCGTATTTAATCCTCACGGTTTTCCATCGAGAATGACAATCGGTAATTTTTATAAAAATAAAATAATTAAATTTTTAAAATTTTTCCCTTTTTCAATTATCAAATACCTTATTTCAGCCATGATGATTGAATTAATGGCGGGGAAAAGCGCTTCGGTCCATGGAAAAGTTCACGATGCCACACCATTTATATTTTCCGAAGACAATTCTGCCATTGATTATTTTGGTAAATTGTTAGAAGCCGCCGGATATAATTATTACGGTACGGAAAAAATGTATTCCGGTGTCGACGGAAGAGAAATGAATGCAGCCATTTTTTTCGGCATCGTTTATTATCAAAGGCTGAGACACATGGTTTTAGACAAGTGGCAGGTTAATATTCAATCAATTAGTAAAATCAATTTGATTTCATGCAGTATTTAATCAATAATTTCACTAATTTTTTAAGGTTCGAAGCACTGGTCCTGTTGACACGTTAACCCAACAACCGATAAAAGGAAGAAGAAGAGGTGGAGGAGTAAGATTTGGCGAAATGGAAAGAGATTCGCTTATCTCTCACGGTGCTTCTGCTTTACTCCACGATCGATTGTTTGAATGTTCTGATAAATATAAGGCACGTTACAAAAAAAACCTGATTTTTTTTTTTTTGCTGCGGTTAATATAAAACGTTTAAATTTGATTTTTTTTTGTTTTGCAGAGTTTAATCTGTTTGAATTGTAACAGTTTATTAGGGAGCGCTCTCTTTCGATGTCCAAAAACCGGAGTCAAAAAAGAAGTTTGCAGATTGTGCTCGGATGGGGGGAATGTTAAAACAATTGAAATTCCTTATATTTTTAGATATCTACTCATTCAACTTGCAGCAGTTAATATTCATCTTAAAGTGTACGCATAAATAATAAAATAGAAAAAGCATCAAATGTATTAATTATTAGACAATATACGTGTAATTTTTGACTGATAATTTTAAACGAGACTATTTGAAAAAATGACTTTATATGAGGTTTTATTATTTAACCAGTATACTTAAAATTGTGTCTTTTAATATTCATCGAGTTTATTTTTATTTAAAAATTGTACGACATGATTTTTTTCTAGAAAATAAAAAATTATCTTAAAAATTTGATTGTTTTAATTTAATGTATTGATAAAAAATTTAGTATAAGCATGGAAACTTCTAGAAAAGGAAGGGCGCGAATATGAATGGGAAGGAGGACATTTTATCATTAAGGTTTGTGAAAAATTGGTAGCTAATTGGAATGAAAAAATTAAATATTATAATCGTTAGTGTAAGTGTGTGGATGTAATGAAATGATTTTAGAGTTTTTTTATTTATTTAATTTTTTCAAATTTGAAATTTGAAAAAAAAAAAAAAAATTCAAGTTTTACAACTCTAGCGGTAGAAATAATAACTAAAATTGTCTTCGATTGAAATTCTAGCCGTTGAATGAGATTTTTAGTTTTATCTCAAACAGTGTTCAAGTGCCTAATAATAATTATTCATTTTATATATTTTGTTTACAAAATATTGTGCATTTTGTTTTTATTTCATACAGTTATGAATACATGATTTTTTAAATATTGTTCTTTTTTTTTTTAAAAGTTAATATGAGATAAATTGATAAAAATAATATTATTTATCTGAGTTATTCGCATGGTGGTGATTTTGTCGCTCGTCTCTTAATTATTTAAAAAAAAAGGTATTTACAACGTTTTTTTTTTTTTTTTTTTCTTCTTTGCATGGCTTTATTTTAAAATATTTTCAAATTTTTAATCAAGTTTACATTATTTAAAACAAATTTATATCCTACATACGATTTTCACATCGATTTGATATAAATACTTGGGTTTTTTTTACAAAGATGCATAAAAAAAATTTTGATTTTGATCATTCATAAAAACTCACTTGCTTATTATTCACTTAAATTTATTTTTGAATAAACTCATTCTTTTAATATCATATTAATTAACTTAAAATACATAAGTTAATAAATTAATTGAAAACTTTATTGTAAATTGATATTAAATTGTTTTAAGGTTTTATTTCATAGTTAAACATAAAAAAAAATTTGAAATTTAATCGTATAAAGACACCTGATGTAATTTTTCTAAAAATTTTTTTCATAAAAACATTCGATAATAATAATAATAATAATTGCAATTTGAAATACAAACCTGAGATTTTTTTTTATTAAATTAAATATTTTATGATTTCTTGACTTTACACACAGTTTAGAACAAATAGAGAATAGAAAAAGAGAAAAGAAATTTATCGAAATGAAATAAGTAAATTATTGCATAAGTTTAAGAGCACTAAAAGATAAATCGATTTTATTTTTCAAATAACACATAATAACACAACAAATTTAAAATGATGTAAAATATCTTTTAAAACAAAAACATTTAGTTTATTTCATACATCAACACACTGTTGTTTTTGTTTTGTTTTGTTTTTTTTTCCATGTTGTCCAATTATTAAAATACATTGGGGGGAAAACGAGGGAGGTTTCATTTTTTTATTTGAATTTTTCTTTCTATTCGATAAAACATTGAGAAAAATTGTATTTGTTTTATACAATTTAATGGATAGTTGCAATAGAGCTTTGTATTTTAAGTTGAATATAACAAATTATCAAGTAGTCACAACAAAGGTTAGAATGAGTTTACTCTAAACAATTATCATTTCCTGTTATGGACTCATGATAATCGAATAAAATGTGTCACTCATACTGTAGAATGTTTATTATTATTATTATTATTATTATTATGTGAAAAAGTTTTTCTTTTATTTTAATAAATAATAACACAAATCGAATCAAATCTGAATGTTAATTAATAAAAAAAAAAATTTTTTTTAAAGAAAAACTAAGCAACAACAACAACAACTCAAATTCTGTAATAAAATATTCAATTACAGTTTAGTATTGTGGGGGGTGGGAGTGGGGATGGGAGGGAGGGGGGAATATTATTGAAAAATAATCATTATTGTTATTTATAATAAAATTTTTCCGCGTAATTTAAATCGCATAAGAGTTTTTAATTTTATTATTATGCACTTATATACTTATTTTACATAAATAAAAATTTTACAGTTCCCCTTTCCTCTTCCACACCTCCCCCCCCCCCGAAAAAAACAAAACAAAACAAATTATTGTTTTTTTATAAACAAAAAAATATTAATTGTTTTTTTTTTAAATTTGTTTTTTCTTCATCTTCCTGCGTTTCTCTTTTTAAAAAATTATTTTCCTTTTTTTGAAAAATTATAATTATTATTATTATTTATTTATTTTAATAGTTTTAAACAATTACGGGTAATAATAATAATAATAATAATAATAATAATAATAATAGTTATTTTCTATTTTTTTTTTTTTTTTTTTTCGTTTTCCGCGTATTACGTATTTAAATACCAAAACAAAATAATTTAGTATTGATCTTGAATGAAATTTTTTTTTTTGCTTTTTTGCGTTTTTTTTTTTTTTTCATTGTATTTATTATTATTATTATTATTAATGATTGACATTGATTTTAAAAAAGTGATAGTTTTATTGAGATACGTGAGGTTGATTTTTTACACACACACACACACACACACACACGAGTATAAAAATTAACTCGATTTTTTTTTTTATTTAAATTTAATAGAATTTTTTTTAGAATTTATTTTACCTTGTCATCATTCTCATTTGGTTTTCATTGAGAATCTTTAGCAACAAAAAAAAAAATTTTTTTTTTTCGTCGATTTTGTTGTGTATGGTTGATGATGGTTCGCATAAGACGAAGGGGAAAAAATTAAGAAAAATGAAAACCACTTAGCCGATTTAATAAATCTTTATTTTATTATCGAGTCAAAAAAAAGAAAAAAAAAAGTAATTTATTGATATTTATCTTCTTGTTGGAACATAAAATTACTATTTTTTTCCATCTCTTTCTCACTCCTTTATTTTCTTTTTGTGAGAATGAAAATTCTCACATTTAAAGACCTCACTTTTTTTTTTATTTCTCTCTCTCACTCCTTCCTTCCTTTATTAGTTTTATTATAATAAAGTTTTTAATGATCGTTATTAAAACTCTTAATAACATATTAGAGAAAATAACTTTTGTTTGAAAACTGTTGAGGAAGAGATATCAATGAGCGGTATATTCATTTATACTCGAAATAGATTTTTTTTTTTTTTATACAATGAGCGACACACACACACACACACATACACGCACAAACACACACGCACATACACACACATACACACACACACAATTTCAAAAGCTTTTTCGTTACTCCTTTGGAACGTACTCCTTTGGAAAGTGTGTGAAAATCATGTCTGTTCTCACTTTTCGGTTTTTTTTTATGCGTTCAAAACACGAGAGAGAGAGAGAGAGAGAGAAAATATCAATGGTTGAAATCGAATGACAATTTGAAACGTTCGAATTTGAAAATTTTATTCAATTAACGAATAAAAGAAATTTTTTGATTGTTTTGGCAAAAAAATTTACATTGTCTTTCATTTTTTTTTTAGCAAAGAGAATTATTTAGTCGTCAATTAAAACAAACATTATAATTAATAAAACGTCAAATTCGTATTGAATTGATGATAGTATTATTATTATTATTATTATTATTATATATAGGCGGTACGTAACGTAATGAAAAATTAATAAAACAAAAAGGTCAAAAGAACAACTTTCAAAAAAAAAAACAAAAAAAAAAAAAAGTAGTACGATACATATGCACGTGCAAAATGTGCGAAATCACGTGAGCTCGTGTTTCTTAATAAAAACTTTCATGCGTTATTAAACATAATGTAATAATACATAGCATAAATATTTAAATAATAATAATAATAATAATACGCGTGTTTTGTTGTTTGGTTTTCGATTCGTTTGAAATTTTGTAAACAAATAAATTAAATTAAATTAAATGTTTACACACTCGGTTTGTGTTCGATTGTGTTTTAATTTTGATTATGTTTAATGTTTGATCGTGTATGTGTAAGCAAGCACATTATGTTAGCCTAATTTTTTCTGTTTTTCTTTTTCTAATTGTTTCACTTACTTTGGATCGACGCCATGCAATGTTTATCCGTTAAGTTAAAGTTTAACATGTGTGGGTAATATAATAATTTAAAATTAGGTGTTATTGTAATAAACGGTTTATAAGTATAGAGATATATATAGAATATGTGAAAGTGATCGTTCTTGACATTTGCCGTTTCGTCTGCCCTTTATATATTATTACATTTGGCGAGGTTGAACCAATCATTTTCAATAGGTTTACTAGTTTTCTTTGTTAAAATTTTTTTTGTTTTCGGCAACCTCCCGGGTCTTTAACATTACAAATTTTTTTTTAAATTCTAGTTATTATGTTGCGTGAGACACGGGAAAATACCACGAAAGGTTTTTAGGGTATAAATTTAAATAGGGTAAATTTTATTTGAGCTCAGCGAACTCGATTTGCCTGCTGGTTTTTCTTTTTTTTTTTTGTGAAAGTCTATTTTTATTTATTACAAAATCTTTTTTGTTTGTGTGTACATGTGTGTGTGTGCGTGTGCGTGTGCAAAAGTTTTAGGTTTTTATTTAAATATGGTATTAATATCGGTGTATAAAATGTTTTAAAGACCGTTTACTACTTTCCCTCGATGTCTATTAAATTTTATTTTATGGTTTTTCGTTGACACTTTTTTTTTTTACACGTTCAAGTCACTGACCACTAGAGAGACATACCTTAATACCTTTCGATAAAAATCTAGAAGTGAAGAGAAGGTTTTTATATCCGCCATATTCGGCTTTGCTCTGATTTTTTGTAAGGGTTCGGTGAAACTCTGCGGTAGTGAAATAGGCGTTTGTTCATGCGAGAGAAATGTAAGTGGGCTGCGATTTAAAATAATAATAATAATA